AGAGAGAGAGAGAGAGAGAGAGAGAGAGAGAGAGAGAGAGAGAGAGAGAGAGAGAGAGAGAGAGAGAGAGAGAGAGAGAGAGCACCTGGGAAGGTTGGGAGGCGCTGACGATGGTGGAGCCTATATATATATATAGCAGACAACTTGTGGGAACGACGGCCCTCTGAATCAGGTGCAAGTCATGGGATATCCTCCTTTTGGCTCGCAAGGAGAATCAGAGGAGATCAAAGCACGTACTAATAATCATGAAGAGGTTGCTCTTCCACCTCTTCGCTGGCAGATGATTAGTTCGTCATGAAAAGGACACATACTACTAGTAGTCATCTAACAGGAGAAGACTGGATAGTATTCCGGCTTGTCTACTCCACCATCTTTCGACTACGATGATCGTCATTGGAAGAGCCAGGCTCCTTGCTATCGCTTCCACTGTACACCGTCTGATCTCTACAGCTGTCCTCATCCTGGTCGGATTCACCTCCGTCAATGTGATGCTCAACTGAGTCAACTCGATGCACATGACCTCTGGGCTTGTACAATGCCGACATCCAACGGCTATCTTCTGTCTGCCATTCCAGGAGTAAGTTCGATTCACCGTTGCCGTCGATCCTCGCTCCTTCAATCTTGGCAAGCGCCTTCGCTACGTTCTGCACATTCCCATCCTCAGGGCGGCTTAATTCTTGGATCTTCTCAAGTGCTCGCACAACATCCGGCATGTTTGGTCTCTTCTCGGCCTTGCGATGGATGCAATTTCTTGCCAGCAGAGTCATCAGGTACAGCTGCGCCGAGTTGAAAGCTCCTTCCAATCTGGGGTCGACAATTACATCAACCGACTTGTGGTCTTTGGCGATGGTCTTGACCCACTCCACCAGGGAGAAGTCCTTTGCGAACGGACGCTTCCCGGTGAGGATCTCCAGCAACAGCACGCCATAACTGTAGACATCAGCTTTTTCCGTGACATTCTGGCACATCAACACTTCGGGGGCCATGTAGCCAACGGTCCCAACGCGGTCCATCACACTCTCAACCCCATCGAGCTTCCGACAAAGACCGAAATCCGCGACCTTGGGTGTAAAGTCCTCGAGCAGCAGCACGTTCTCGGGCTTTATGTCTCGATGGATGAGTGGAGGCTTGAGCAAATAATGAAGGTACTCCAATGCCGTGGCGATCTCTGTTGCGATTCGAACTCTGGTCGACCAATCGAGAGATGCGGCTGGCGAATTACCGTCGCTGGGAGAAGGGTGCAGGTACTTCCTGAGACTACCATTAGGCACGAACTCGTACACCAGGAAGTACTTGTCCTTCTCACGGCAGAACCCCAGAAGTTGGACAAGGTTCCTGTGAGATATCCTCCCAAGCGTGCAAACCTCAGAGAGGAACTCGCTCTCGCTCAGCCATTGTTCCCGCTTCAAGCACTTCACGGCAGCGGTATCTCCGTTGGCGAAAGTCGCTCTGTAGACAACCGCGCTCCCGCCACGGCCAACGACCGTCGTGAAGTCGGATGTCGCCTGTCGCAGCTCCTTGGATGTGAAGATCCGCAAGCGAAGCAGCTCGCGGGAAAGGGCCCTGAGCTTGCGGCGGCCATTGCTCCGCCGCCTCACCCACCACACAGCTACCGCTACAGTAGCTACGACCTTCACAACTGCAAATGGAACCAAAATGGCCATAAGCGTAGCTCTCCTTTCGTTCCTCCAATTCGCCGCCGTCACCGCCGCCGCCGCCGCCGCCGCCCCCGCCCCCGCCATCGGCTTATCGGCCAACACAAGTGGAAGTGCTTGTGTTCTGTTCGCGGGGATCATCAGGACCGTAGGATTGCTATCGTTGTTCTTCACGACGGGCTGCGCGTCGGCGATCCCGAGGGAGAGCGGATCCAGCTGGAACATCGTCCCGTCGTTGCCTGTGTAGTTGCAGAATGCTTCTGTTCCTGCACAGGCGGCACAAGCGGAAGAGCTGTCAACGCTAAGTAGACCAGCCCTCGCTGGCCAGCATGCGCTGGACGTGCCCTGCTGATCTTCCAAAAGCCGGCTACCGCCGACAATCAAGGAAGGACGATGGGTCCAAGGCGACGAGCAAAAGCGCAGCCTAAGTCGCGACATCCGATTGTTAAGTGTGTGATTACTCCCGTCCAGCTGCACGTGGACCGCACTGCCGTTGATGTACGTGCTGTTGCTGAAGACAATAAGAGTGTCCCGCCCACCCTCGGCGCGCTGAATTCCTTCTGCTTCTTCCTCTGACCCCTGAGAGCTGGGATCGGGGAACCAGCCCACTCGTATAGTGTTGGCCCCGTCTCCCGTGCCGTACCCGAACGTGCAGTTGAAGATACCGAGCTTCCTCTCCTGGAAGATGCCGGACGTTGTTCTCACCCTCAAGATGTCAGCTTCGATCGTCGAGGCGAAGACAGATCGGGAGAAGCACGCCGTTGAAGGTAACTCGTACAGAGTCAACCCTCCATTGGTATTCAGGAAAGTACATGTATCTATGACAAGCTTCGCCGGCTCTGCGTCGCTGCTGCCCTGTGTCAAATTTCTATCGAACCGGAAAAACGTTTTGCCGCACTGCCGGAAAACGCAGTTGTACAGTCCCACCTTCCGCGAGCTGAACTCGAAGCAAAGGTTCCTGAACTCCAGGTTTAACAGTTCCACGACCCCGCCGCCATCGTCGCCGCCATCGCCGCCGCCATCGCCGCCGCCATCGCCGCCGAACTTCAAGCAAGTTTGCTGGCTCTCGTGACCGGAGACTATACACCTGCTACCCTCCCCGCAGCGTCCGACCACCATCAGCTTCCTGATTCCGTTGATCAGGATTCCAGACACATTCGCGAGCGACAAGTTGCCCGTCACCGCTATAGTCTTCTTCATCCCTGTGCCATCTGCCCCGGTATTCTCCAATTCCCTAGCTAGGCCTTCGCCATCGCTAACATTCACAATAACTCCCATAGAACTGCCATTCATCACCGCCAAGCCATCCTCTCTCTGATTTAACTCCCTTCGTTCCGAGCTAACTTTGGCGCCAAGTTTTCTTCCCCTTCCTCTGGCGATCATGCAACCCACATGCTGCGTGATGACACGTGTCTCATCCGGCACCATCTCCTCTTTGATCGGAACAAGAGACGTGTCATCATTGTCTCTTTGGGATCCCAACGCCGACGTCGAAAAGATGTTGTGCGATGCACTCGCTTGCCCGTCTTCATCGTCGGTGGGTTCCTGGAGCGCTGCCGTTTCTGTCCCTAAGGCTTCCTCCTCATCCATGGCAGCCTGGACGTCGTGCATCGCATCGTCGTTCGCCCGATCTTCGCCGCCGTCTACCCCAGTGTAGACGACGGTCGTACTGAGAGCCTCAGCCGCCTTCCACCCCCTCGGGGAACGGGTGTCAGTGACCTCATCCGAGACCACCCTGCTGAGGGCGTCGTTGCGGTCGCCCGCGGTATGAGCATAATAATATGCATATCCACGTGTCTGCCCCACATTGGAAGCCCATAACTGTGAGGTTCCACGAGAGCGAACGCCTGTCGGGAAAAGGAGCAGCAACACCGTCACCACCATCACCATGACTGGAAACCATGTAGCCGACTTCGCCGATCTCAGTCTGTGCATTTTTTTTGCTGCTGCTGCTGCTGCCGCAGAAATCATCCGTGTACACTCTGGGTACATACTTAGTAACCTCTTTCTCTTCCGCAACTACTACGGCCTCCTGCTCTCCCCCTTCTCCCGGCCCGTCACTTCTCTCTCTCTCTCTCTCTCTCTCTCTCTCTCTCTCTCTCTCTCTCTCTCTCTCTCTCTCTCTCTCTCTCTCTCTCTCTCTCTGTGTGTGTGTGTGTGTGTGTGTGTGTGTGTGTTTGAGTGTGCTTCTAGAATGTCGCATCAGTGCTAGATGATGTGCGGTTGCCCGCTTTCGCTGCCTTGGGGTAAGCGAAGGAGGAAGGCGGAGGCGATGAGGAGATGTGGTTCAAAGACAGTTGAGAGTTCCTTTCAGATGGCGAGTGCATCCTACAGTAGTGAGGTAAGAGCTCCCCGTCAGAAGGAGCTATGCAGTCCGGACGTCGGGCGCAACAAGATTTCAAACTGGAATTTGAGCTAGTGCGCTTTTGCGCTTACGCACATTGTCAAGGGGTGGGTGCTCTCACCTCTCCCCACTGTCGCAACGACAGACGGAGATGGGAGAGAGCCGCTTCTTATGAAGCAGGAGCATGCTGGGCGAATTTGTCGTTTCATTGCCAATCAATGTCGCACAGAGACAGAAAGACAGAAGCCGTACTCGCACCAGGACTTTCCTGGATGTATATGACCGCTTTTACAAGCAGGCCTGGATGAATCTGGCCGCAATTACGTCCAGAGATAAGCTGAGAAACTCCGAGTATGCGTATGCTGAGAGAGAGAAAGAGAGGGACATAAAAGGCAGGAGGAAGGACGGAGGATGTGACAGGGAAGCGAAGACGGCATGGCTTTGCCCGGACGCATATTGAGTGCAATTACTTCCAGATTCAGGTCATACTCACACTAGGACGTTTTGGACTCCTCTGGACGTAATTACGTTCACGTACATCCGCTTCCGGCCGTGGTTGCTGTCATATACATCCAAGAAAGTCCTACTGGTGAGTAAGCTCTCCAGTGCGGAGCTCCGGGGCAGTGAACACGGCCTTAAAAATCATGTGGGTGATTGTAGATTCGAAGATATGGTTCAGGATGTCTCCCGATCGAGTCCTTCGGCAGGCGAGTGCTAGGGGGGGATGTTCGTATCACCGCCCCTAAGCATAGCCAGGCGATGTTTCAACAAAAAAAAAAGAAAAAAGAAGAAGAAGAAGAAGAAGAAGAAGAAGAAGAAGAAAAAGTTCGAAAAAGGAAAAAAAAAAAAGAAGGTAATTCTTTAAGCCCAACCAATGCAATTACCTGTCAAATCTGGACAGGATGGCCTTTCATGCCTTTGTTATTGTCATTATAGTATTACGGGGAACGCCGTAGCAGACACGTCCGTGCTCAAGCCTCCAACGAGGGAACATGCGGGAGCTGCACCCACCAGCAGGTGCCGTACCTGCTACAGCAGGTGGGCCATACCGGCCAGGGGTCAGCCGGTAGCATCAGGACGAGCTTCTTCGATGAGTCAGTCACTGTGCCTTCCCTCCGATCCCCTCCCCCTATGAACATCTGCAGTCTCTGATCAATGACACTCAAGGGGACCAACGGCATATCTCTCGGCGGCGTGCGCCAAGCTTGCCCAGGAAGGTACATGAGGCCAATGGGGATTGAACCCAACACCTCCTGAATGCCGCTTGCGTGCGTTTCCAATTGAGCTAGGCCGCTGGATGAAGACGAAATAGTAGTCTCCCGAGCGAGCGTATTGTCTTGCTCCAACTAATCTATCTATCTATATATCGTCACAAACAGAACTGCCCGGTAAACCGTAGGCAGAGAGAGAGAAGAGGACAACAAACGAGGGGCTGTGACAAACTGCAGAGAGAGAGAAGAGGACAACAAACGAGGGGCTGTGACAAACTGCAGAGATATATATATATATATCGTCACAAACAGAACTG